GTTCTTCTTTCGAGGATATACCACCTTCGTGGTGTTCGATTCAATTGGATCCATAGCTTTCTTATCGAGGGTCTTCAGCAGTAGTTTTGATACCAACTTTCACGAGGTACCTTTCTTCTTGGCACAGAAATGGACATCGTGCGGCAGTAGTCTGCTCTGCTAGACTACCTTCCGCAACTCAGTTGATTTGTACCTACTACTGTGTGTTTATACTACTAGTTAAACTAAGGGTGAAATTCAACTGGTCCATTGGTTATTGTAAATTAGTGGCATTTGATTATTGGAATTCAACAGGATCCTTTATTGAATGATAATTCAATTATTGTTGGTAACTTATCCACTCCAAGTACAACCATCACATGTATCCTTTATTGAAGACCAATTTAAGAAGCCTCTGAAATTCTTTTACATTGGCTGGGGACACAAATACAGAAGAAATACGTGAAAGTTTTCATTTGTTGTAACTAGTTGAGCATTTGGCAACATGAGGAATAATTAATACAATACACATTGCCAACAGAAATAATCAGTAAGCACAACTACTGATATAAAACAAAAAAATTTTTTGTACGAATCAGGGGAATAGCTGATACAATACATACTGCCAACAGTAACCTACCAACTACACTCACTTTAAAAAAAAAAAAAAACTACCAACTTCACTTTCGAAAGACTAAGAACAACCTAGCATTTATCGTACAAATTATTCCTTACTTTCAAACAGCAACATCAACTACATTACGGAAGTTAGTGGCATAGTCTTCACTTTGACCAATATCCAAATCCATTAAACACAAAAAGGCTGATAAACATTGCAAATCACAAAGACCACCAAAGCCAACTAATATTGCTTCATCAATTTTCTCTTCCTAAGCTCCCTCTGTTGCATATCGTTTGACCTGTGAATGAGCTCATTCATTACAACTTTGTAGCGTGGATGAAGAGATTTTCATAATGAGCTAAAGGATTTGGTTATTCTTAGGTTAGGTTTCAATTGGGGACTTCAGATTTCTCTCTCGTAAAGCATTGGAGGTTGTCGTTATTTTAGAAGTAAAAAATGTGTTTTGTTAGTTGCCACGTCAGTTTTTTATACTCTATGTAATTTATTGTCCACCAGTACCGACAGAATTGACCCAAGTGAAATGAGTAATGAATAGGTGAGTGAACATTCGGTAACCATTTATTTTTTGGTGAGTATCTGTTAGATTGAACCCTGGTTCTCTCTTTTGTGCTCCCAAAATTATGATAGTAAAATCGTGTTATGGGGAAAACACTTTTGTAAGTAAAACATTTTTTTTTATTGACACGTGTACTGCTTCTGACCGTTGGATGGTGAATTGGTTTTTACTTGGGCTCAATGACTCTTGGGTTACGGCAACTGTACATTCTATTCTGGAGACTTCTGGTGCTCATGTGTGTTGAGAGAAAAAGAGAGAAACAAGGAGAAGGAGAAGGGTTAGGGTTTGCTGCTTCATTTGATTCACTTAAAATTTTTGATTTAAGTGTTCTATGTGATAGAGTAACCTTCATTGTGCAATATTCCGAGTGAATATTGTGAGAATCTGAGTGATTTCTCTGTTGTTAGTTTTGGTGTTGTTCGAAAGGTTATCTTGAAGATACCTTGGGTGAATATTTATAGATCTATCATTGTATTTGAGAGATAAGTCTCTTGTTTCATCTCTCTGAACATTTATAACTTTCGTTGTCATTTTAGGCTGTTATAGTGCAACTGAGCATAATCCTTTTCTTGGATGCTCAATGGAGGATGTGAGTGTTAGAAGCGGTCACGGAACCTTCAGGGCTACAGCCGAAATAATTATTTGGTGTTAATCTTTAATTTCTACAGTTTACTTTTAGTTTGATTCGATTATTCTTGTTTTTCAATTCTTATATCGTGTGGTCTTGGCTTTACAATATCTATTTAATTTACTCCACTTCGGGCACTAATTATACCAAATGTCAAATAAGAATTAGATAAAGTTATTAATCCTTATCATGTCTAATAAGATGCATCAAAAGTGAGGTATAGCCAAATACAAAATTCCAAATTTCATTTTTCATTTATATTTTAATGATCTTATAATCCTTAGAAATTCCGTGGGATTGAACTTGGCTGATCGAATTGCGAATTATAATACCATGATATAATTTTCGACATAATAGTTGACATAATGCAACATGACGCTTCATAATTAGATTGTTTTGAGCATCATTAATTTTTTCATCTAATCACATCTTATTAGTCAACCACTTTCTGTCAAAAATGGCGTAAACATCAAATTGCATCATGAAATCATTATGAAAAAAATTGATTAATTCAAATAATCTGATTACTATAAGCCCGACAAAAACAAAACATCATGGCGGAATCCTGTCTGCGCTAGAATCCAAAATGCATTTCATTTTCAGTGAGAATGATGCAAGGCAAAATGAATTTGAATTTGCCTATAAAAATTAAAAAGAAAAGTCCAAAACCCAATAGTACAAGGGAGTTGAAATTCAGCGAAAACCCACCTGCAGCAAGCCAATGGCGGGATCGGAAAGTAATGGGCTTCCTGTGATTGATATGCAAGATTTTCCTGGGCAACTATCGAAGCTGATGGAGGCATGTGAAGAATGGGGATGCTTTCGAATTGTGAATTTTCAAAATTTTGTTCCACAATCACTTATGCAGGATATGAAGGGTGTAGTCAGATCATTGCTCGACCTTCCAATTGAAATCAAGAGGCGCAATGTGGATGTGATTGCTGGAAGTGGGTATATGGCACCCAGCAAAATTAATCCACTTTATGAAGCTCTGGGACTCTATGATATGGCCTCTGCTCAAGACGTTGATGCCTTCTGTACACAGTTAGATGCAGCTCCTCACCAAAGGTTTGGAAAATATATATATTATTTAAATTTATTGAGTTTTTTTCAAAGATTTAATTTAAATAAATAAAATTTTTCATTTTTCTATGAGTTTAAGCATTTAAATCAGGTCTAATCCCTGTATCAGGTAGGCAGAGATCATGACTCAATTCTTGTCACTACTCAATTGTGAAAATTGTGTAAAGCCTGCAAGTGGGATGCATTGAGTGCAATGCCGTGTTTGAGTCTAATTATTCTCAAAATTCACTTTTTCAACTCTCATTTTTAACACACATTCTTTAGTAAAATAATTTTACACTCAAATTAAAAAAAAAATCTTCTTTTTCAGCTACACATTTTTCAACTTTTTACTATTCCAAAATACATTTTCTTCGTAAAATGGAGTCCAAACAGGGGCATAATTTTAATAAATAAGTTCATTAAGGTTTCTGATAAGGTGGTTCATTAATAATTGCTTAGTTCTTGGGTCTTTTTCATTTTTTATTGTTCCTAGAGAAGCAGATCAATATATCTGTTATGTAGCTTACCCTTTAGACCATTTTGCAGAAGATTCCTGAATCAATACAAAATATTTGAACTCAATTCGATTTCATACTAATGTAGTAGTATAAAGAACATTCCAATTTTATTGAAGTTACTATGGAAGCTCCATCTACAAATGGATAAGACCCGATCTTAGTTAGGATTTATTGCAACTCTTCTATCTTGGTTTACTGTGGAATTTTGTAGGAAAACTTTGCCCTGTATTTGTTGCAGTTTCGATGATATTAATGCTAATTAAAAGGAATTTGGTAGTCTCTGTTTTAACGATGAATAGGAATAGGAATGGAAATGATATGGATTGTGTGCAATTTGCAAAAACTGGGCTTTCTTTTGTACATTTACAACGAAATTTGTTGCGCATGCATTTGCACTTGAACAAGGATGGAATTTACCAGCAGTTGACCAGAAAATCTCATCCATCAAGAAGATAAGTTATATTAAGTTATGGGGAGAACTCATGCAAATTCAACAAGAATTTCTAAACCTTCCAATGAGCAGATGGAAAAACATCCTTGTAAACTATCAACCTTAGATCATGTTTTTCTATTGCTGTGAGAATTTTTATGCGTGGTCCATGATGTCTGTCTGAAATATGGGGGTGTTTTTGTTAGGATCCCCAGTTCCTAATGATAAAAGAGAAGTAAACTGAGAAATGTATTTATATTGAAATTTCAATAGAATGGAAATTACAAGTTTCAGGCTATTCGAGAGGCCTGATCTCTCCCCCTTTTCCTAACAGGAAATCAGTACTTCATTGATGAATATTCCAGCTCCCACTTATTACATCTATAGATAATCTGCTAGCTTTCTATTACCATTTTACCCTTTTACTGACTAACTATGGAACACTCTAGAATAGTTGATGACTTGGCTGCAATGTAATTGGATATTTATCAGTTTGATGGATATTATTGAGAAAATAATATATTTTAAATAGTGATATGATGAAAAATATGTGGTTAAAAAGTTAGGCAAAGTTATTGATGCGATGAAAAATATTATTTTATTGAAGAATGTATGGTTAAAAATAAATTTTAAAATAATGTATTTTAGAAGAATGTATGTCAAACAGGGGCTACTATTCTCAAATTTGTATTTTAAACTTCTTCTGTTATACCTATTTGCACATTCCCCCCTATTTCAGAACTTTGCATTCAGCTCAGGTTATATGCATAATTTTCTTATATCAATTGGTTAATGATGTAGTGAAAATGAAGAAGAATTATTATATATCAATAAAAAAGCCTGTTTGTAGCCATTTTGAATTCAGGTTACAAGGATAGACGCAAACGCAGGATAAACAATATGTGCGGCTTAGTAGCTGCCTTGGCTAAGCTTCATCGGGTAGGAAGCATTATGTACAATTTTCTGCAGCATACCTTTTCAGAGGTTTTTTTTAGCGTTAAGGTATTTAGATTGTTGCTTTAGATCTTACTGTACATTCAGCAATTATCTGAACTGAGTGGCGGAAAAGGGTTCATTTAGCCGACCCATGTTTATTGTGAAAAAGGCTTAGTTTATTGTTATTGTTGAAGGTATATTTGAAGATTACTTACTGGTATCGTTGAACTGCTATCATTTTCAGGCAGACAATTGTAAGATATGCTAGAGCAGTGAATGAACTTATGATGGATATTGGGCATAAAATAGGAGAAGGGCTTGGTCTGAAAGGTGTTCCATTTGACGGTTGGCCTTGCCAGTTCAGGATTAACAAATACACCTTTACCAATGAAAGTGTAGGTTCCTCTGGTGTACAACTACACACAGACTCCAGCTTTCTTACTGTTCTACAGGATGATGAAATTATTGGTGGTCTTGAAGTAATGAGAAAATCAGGGACATTTTTAGCAATTGATCCCTGCCCGGAAACTCTTCTTGTCAATCTTGGAGACATCGCTGCAGTAAGAAAATCTTTTTACTATCTGTCATTGTTGTGATTTTCATCATATTATAACACGTCTTGTAAAAAAAACTAAGAGGTAAAAACGGATACAGGCATCATTTTTCCATCATTCATTTGGTTCTTTGCTGTGTGCTAGAAGATATAAAGCAATTAGATCCTTAATGTTGGCAATGAGTAGACGGAAATTCCACATCGTCTAGACATAGGGATAGTCTTGGGTTGACAAGGGGATTGTGCTACTATGCCAAATAAGCTAATTTTTTTTATGGAACCCTGCAGTTAACAACCACAATGATCTGTATTGATTTCGTTTAACCCCCTTTTTTCTAACTAGTTTTACTGGGTTCGAAAGCCTTTCTAGGTCTACGTACACAATTCCAAACATCTAAGTCGTGCTTATTCACATTCTCATCGTTTTGTTGCAGTATAACCACTTATCTATCTTTATATCCTCATATCCAGTTTTTGTGTTCTACATTAAATCTTATAGTTAATTTTACATTTGCATGTAAAGGTTTGGAGCAATGGAAGATTTTACAATGTCAAGCATCGAGTGATATGCAAGGAAGCAGGAATAAGGCTTTCAATTGCTTCGTTTCTCTTAGGACCAAAGGAAGGGACGGTGGAAACACCAGCAGAACTAGTGGATTCTGAACATCCTCCTCTCTATATTCCTTTTACTTACGAAGAATTCAGAAAGCTTCGAGTCTCTAAGAAGTTACACACTGGTGAAGCTCTTGATCTTTTACGAGTAGAATCCTAAAAATAAAGCTAAGCATCTTCCATTGTTTCTGGTACTTCTCGACAAGAAAGTATCAAGAAGTCTAAATATGTTTTGCTCATCTTCTAGCTGCAGTTATTTTGACATTATGCAGATTCATTTCGGTATTTCCGAGAAAATTATTGGTCTTATTTTCTCTGAATAATAAAATATTGTAAACTGGGTGTGAATCGTCTTGATCTGAAGCTTTATGGCGTTTACATGATGATTTTCTTCTTGAATTTCACTTCGTGCTTGTTCTACACTTGGAAAATATTTAATTATGTCAAATTGAATCGAATTTGATTCTTTCAACCAACATTTGGGAGAAAAATTCATTAGTTTTTGCTGAAAATTAGGATGCTTGCGACTGAGAATAGGAAGAAAACTGAGTAACCTTTGTTAAGGGATATATATCCCACATCGATAAATGATGTTGACACGGACCAATTAATAAAGATTTTGGACTACTCCTCTTAACAAGGTTGACCTATTAAGATGGAACCTCAATTTTTAACATGGTATCAGTGAAACAGACCAATTAATAAAGATTTTGGGTTACGCCTCTTAATAAGATTGATCTTTTAATATGGAACTCCAATTCTTAACATGGTATCAGAGCCCATTATGCTCCAACGAGCGACTCAATCCCATTAAAACTCTAAAATGAGCACGTGGATTTCAAGATTGGTGTGCTCAAATGAGCTACCATCTTACGGGGGCGTGTTAAGGGATATATATCTCACATCGATAAATGATATTGACACAGACCGATTAATAAAGATTTTGAGCTACTCCTCTTAACAAAATTGACATTTTAAGATAGAACCTCAATTTTTAACAACCTCAACATACTAATATGGTTCTGTGAGTTTTGTTTAGATCAAACCAAAAGTTATCACCATCAGTCCAAAAAGTTTAAATTTTCTTTCCTAAATATATATAAATTTATGTGCAGACGTATGCATGAATTTATTGTATACAATTCAGGAATTGCAAATTACAAGCACCCACAAGTTGTGAAAATGGTGAAAACACCCAGCTCTAAGCGTTGGCTGTCCACAAAAATTTTGTTCCAGACCATAATAACTCGGCACGGTTGATTATGTCAACTTGACAGACTGGAGTCAAGTCTATCAAGTTAAAGAATTCTTGCAAGTTTGTCTCTCTGTGTTCATGGACGTGTTGTCCTATTGTTGTCGATTTTATCATCTTACAGGTGTACGGATCGTGAACAAATAATAAAGTGGGCCTAGAGTCCAAGTGTCAATCTCAGGAGAAATAATGCAAACATGTGAAGTCGTATTATTTCACAAGAACATCAATTGGATCTTACAAAGGATAGACCTTACAATTAATGTTGTTACATGATATCTTCCCTATGAAGAACAATAGGCTCAATTAGTGTCCAATTAATTGAAAGCATGAATATCATAACAAGCATTCACACCAAAATGTTGTTTGATGTTAAAATTATAGAATTAATATAAAAACTTTATAAAGTTCAGTTCAACATTATCCTAAGATCCATATAACTAGCCAAGAATCATAATATTACAAGAACACAATATAATACGATATAACATCACTCAAAATTGAAGTTTAGAAAAGAATATAGAAAATGATCTTATATCTTGAATTCCTTCAATGGCTCTTGATTTCTCTTCTTCAGTCTTCTCCCTCCCCTTCAAATCCAAGCAATTGACGTAAGAAATATGTAGGAATATGTATCTTGCAACAAAAGCTTCTTCAAAACTTTCCGAAGAATTATGGAATTTTGTATCTCAATGACTCTTTCTCTATTTGGGAGGGTTTCCTCATCCTTGTAGATAAAAGAACATATTTATAGGATAAGAATTAATTCAAAATCAGTGCCTCAATTGGTTTCCAAGGAGTGGTTGTTCAAGAAAATGAAACATTTTTTTCCGTCGAAGATTCAATTGTGCGATCGCACAGTAGTACAAAATTAAGTACTACTTCTGCAAATTAAGCTGGTGCAATCGCACCCCGGTAGGTTTTAGGTAAATTATTCTGGTCCCAAGACATTTTTATCTTTCGTCCAGCATGAGTCATTTCTTCTTTGCACCTTTAGTTCTTCATATTTAAATCATTATAATTTAGTCATTAATCATTAGTAGTCGATTTGACGGGAATTTACCTACAAATGTCGTATTTACACCGAATTTAGGTAGATATCCACTCAATTAACCATATATAATTAAGCAAAGAAATCAAAATAAGTGCACAAGATGCACTTATTACCTATTGTAAAGGTGTGGGAAAATAGAAGGTTCTGCAATATAAAGAATTGTGTAATATGCAGGGAAGAAGGGACAAGGATGTTAATTGCTACATTTCTATTAGTACCAAAGAAAGCAGTAATATTTCATGTTGTTATTGAACAAATAAAACAGGATGACACGATTTTTGGAGCAAAAATATATTCATGTATTTTGCTCCTTATTTCTTTGTCAATCGGACATCAATGGTTTTGTATATTTTAAAAATCTTCGAAATCTCACTTTCTTTCTTTAGCATTGCCATCTTTGTTTAACTTCGCAAATGACACAAAATATGACATGTCAACCATGTACATACATTGCAGGTGTAACACTAGATTACAATAAATACCAGCAAAATTGTCCAGAGTTTATTCCTCTTCCAGTCAACTTTGTATTACACCACCAATATCAATGTACACTGACTATATCCCCTTCCATTTGTTCTCTTAATGAACAAATCAAAGTAAAAAAGATGACAACAGACTCCAAAGAACATGACATCAAACAAAAGTCACTACAAAAGTGAAAATGAAAAATTGAAGGGGGGGTTAAGAAACAGAATGCACAGTGGTGACAGTTGTTTCTAAAAGAAACTACACCAAGGAGTCCGTGTATCCAGTAGAGTTCTCCATGCTCAGATCCTGTGGACTCCAACCTGAGCCGAAATGTGAAGCAGTTATTGATGTCGTATTCACAGAACTCGAATCTAAATCTGTGGGTTCAACAGCTGGCCACACAAAAGCCGGCTTGAACGGTGGAACATTCGGCACTGGCACTGTTCCCAATATTATATGAAGTATAGCCTGTGTTTTAGGCCTTTCACTAGCAGTAGGATGTGAACAGGCCAACCCCAGCAGCAGAAGCCTCTCGGCTTCTTCTTCAATAAATTTGTCACCCAATCTTGGATCTACAGCTTCGAGTAAGCGCCTATCACGATGCAAGAGCCAAACCCAATCGACCAAGAATCGGAAGCCAGCAATCTTGGTTCCGGGCCGTAGACCACATACCACTTCCAATAAGACTGCCCCAAATGCAAAGACATCAGACTGTTGTGTGGCTTTTCCAGTGTGGAAACACTCGGGTGCAATGTATCCCATTGTGCCTAGCACTCCCTCTGCCTCGGCATATGAGGTCTTCCCATTGTCAAGAGCCCGTGCAAGGCCAAAGTCTCCTAGACGGGAATTAAAGTTGGAGTCGAGCATGATGTTGCTGGCTTTAAGATCTCGGTGCACTACCCTCTGCTCATACTCGTTATGGAGATAGTGCAAAGCTGAGGCGACCCCAGAAATTATTTTATATCGAAGACTCCATCCAAGTGGCTCTATGTTGGGCTCGGAAAACAGGTGTTTGTCAAGGCTTCCATTGGGCATGTATTCATACACCAGTAGAAGCTTCCCATTCTTGTGGCACCATCCTGTTGCAGAAATAAACATCAGTCATTCAGGTCTTTCATTTATTTTCTTAAAGCTAAAAGTTAAATAGAATAGCGGTCATGTTATTATTCTGGACAGAGAGAATATCGTAATTGATGTGTCAAATTTATGTTAACCCGGACAAGCACCTAACCCAATCCCGATGTCCTGTAATCCTTGAGGTATCTGTAGTGAAGATCTTTCCTTGGGATTACTTACCTCCGGCCATGCTCAGGATCCAGTCACTCACGCCACCGTAGATGAGCTCCATACCTCGCCTATCTCTCTCTCCTTCTTCCTCCAGGAGTCACTGACCTATGAGGACTCTACTACCATAGTCCTAATCCTATGCGACTACTGCAGTCCTACAATTCCGACCAACTTCTGGCGTCTAACTATAACAAGACTCTCTAGTCTTGTATGACTTTTAAACAGTCAAGGCACCCACGTAATCCAACTCTAAAGTCTTGTATGACTTTTAAACAGACAAGGCACCCAAGTATCCCAATCTTACACTGTCTATCTCTATAAATACAAATCCTTAATTCATTATTTAGGTACGCTTATATTTCCCTTCTCTCTAACTTGAGCATCGGAGGGGCGATGAGGACACACCTCGACGCCTTTGTTTTAGGTCTTGAAGATTATGTTCGTGCTCATCCTCAGTCGTCAAGTTCAATAACTAGCAGCACAGATTTTTGGTAGCATCAATAATAAAATCAGCAACGTCAAAGACTTATGTCAAATCCATATCTAGAAAAGCCACACAAATCTATTTTTGATGTAGATATTTAAGCATAAAAAAAGACTCAGCAAGGATGTTAGGAGATCGCAGTCAAGTGTGACAGATCCCTCCAAATTTGGCCCAGCGCAAATACTTTTGAACTTGAAAACAAAATTTGAGCTCATTTTCAATGGCCAAGTGTTCATTTAATTATCCAATATCTCCAACCAGTCACTTTCATGAACCAATATTTTAGTTGACCCTTTGCAATTTGAAATGCAAGGAGGAGATGAAAGTTGAAAACAGGAAGTTTACATTAGCTGAGCCACAGCAACCATGATGGGCTGCTGACAAAGCCTACCACCACCTAAAAGGTCGTCCAAAAGTGACTTGGTCTCCCAAAGGGACCTTGGCATGCCAGGCAGCCCACGTGATTGAGTTGGCTGGTGGGGCTGTGTTGTGATAAGGTGGATTTTTCAGTTATCCTAAGTTCTTCAATTTTATCATTTATTTCCGTCAACCTTGATAGGCCATTGTGTCTTATATTTTGCTCATTCTCTGATATTTCCAAGTGACTAGAAATCTTGCATCTATGAAATTGAATTGGTTGAGATTAATCGATTAAACTCTGCATATTTTTATAATTCTAATAAACAAGAACAAACCAAGGAAACGACGAAACATTAGTTTAATACATCTATAGTCAGCCTTTTTAGGTAATTGACAGAGCAATTTATACTGCTGTATAGAGTAATAGAGTGTAGGCAACTGAAAATTGGCTGATAAAAATTGAGTTAGATCAAACATACCGAGCAATTTAACAAGATGTTTATGCCGAAGGCGATTAATGATGGTAAGTTCAGCCAAGAAATCATCTTGTCCTTTGATACTCTCCCTGGAAAACCACTTGACTGCAATCTCCAGATTCTCCTTATCAAGAACCCCTTTGTATACAACTCCATATCCTCCTTGTCCAAGCTTGTTCTTCTCATCAAAACTGTTTGTAGCCCTTTTCAGGTCCATAAATTTGAACTCTTGAGGAGTACCGGGAAGACTCTTGAGAGCCCCTGCCAAGTTTGAATTACAATGTGCCATTCGCCGCTTGCGAAAGTAATATCCAAATCCTACTGCTCCTAATATTAGGAGCACCAAAATAGGCACTCCAGCTCCTAAAGTTATCTTCAACCATGGGTGCTTTTTATCTGGAAAGTGGTGGATAGTCAAATTCCACCTCAAAACACAGTTTAATTGAATAGTATTCCCCGTAGATGCAGAGAACCCGAAATACGAATACTGAGTTAGAATTTCTCGTAAATTTAGTTCTGAACTTATAATGGGGGAGCTAGGCTTGGGAGGAGTAGGGCCAGTTTTCGTAGCTTCTGCTATGTACACAGCAAGGAACTTCTTAGAACCATCGTAATCCACCCATATGTTGTAAAATTTAGGATCCTTTGGAGCTATTGTGATATTGTGAGGTGTTAAAGGTTCAACTTTTACAGATGTGACTCCATTGATGTCAATACCTACATGATTGTCATCAGGGTCAAAATCCTGTTTGAAGGTGTCAAGCTCCACCGCAAGTACGTGGTTATTGTCTTTGCCGTCGTTGGTTGCATTCGTCAGGCCCAGATACCCTCCGGAGCTGTTAGGCGGCAAATTAAGATCAGCGGCAATCAAGAAAGCCAAACCTTCGCCGGGAGTATCATTTTTGGGCCGGTAAACATTGATAAGAAATGAAGTATTGAAAGATGCCACCAGTTTTTCTTTGGATGATGCAATATCACCATCCCAGAGCTTAAAGGGCGTTTTGTATAGGATTCTGCCTGAATTGTTATACATATTGAAATCGGCCGAAGCTGACTCTGGAGTCACTTGAAGAGCGCCGTTGCTGATCATAGCAGGCTTTACAACCTCAAAAATATCATGCTGTCTTTGATCGAAAGACCCAAATTGTCGACTAAAAGTATCAAGTTTCTGAGCTGAAACAATGGCTAAAAAACAGCAAAAAACAAACACGATGGCGCTGAATTTTGCTGTTAGTTTTCCCATTTCATGTATATGAAAGATGGGACAGAGGTTTATGGAGCTCTGGAACTACAATAACTAGATTGAAGATGGACGAGGAATAAGAATAATAAGGGAAATCAATATACAAATCATTGAAGCAAATGGCTTTCTTTTTATATTATTTGGTTGGACAAAATATTAATCAATGGACCCGAATGTGATGGAGAAATCAAGCATGGGGTTTGAAGTTTGAACTGGTTTTGTATTACTATTCTGATACAGCATTGCTAGGAACTTGCCCCACTGCCGTGGGGATGAAAATTCCGTATTTCTTGATTTTATCTAGGGAAAGGAAACTGAGGCTCGCTATAACTTCTAAAATTCACTTATATAAGTTTACTCGCGAGTAAAATAAGAGTAATGTTTTAAGATAAATTATATTAAGCAAAATACAACTTTTAAGTGATTTTATTACATCTAATAAAATAGTTAGTTACTTTTGAAACGCCAAAAACTCATTCAAATATTAGGTCTAAGAAATTTCGAACAATTCAACAGCCAAATTTCGTGTTGGTCAAATTAAGTACAATCGATAATTGACTGTCACTACCCACGAAATTAACGTGGAATTTAGTGACGAATTTTGATGTCAACATTTTATACAAGAAAGTCGTGAAACCCTATTCCTTTTCCAAACTTTAGAATTAGGGATTGATATATTTATTCAATGTCAATGTATTTGTTCTAAAAGAATATTATATGATATTGGTAGGTAAAAAGTTAATTAATATAGGATAGTAAATGTTTAAAGTTTAATATATGAATAAATCATAATTTGTACAATTTATTATTAATAACTATTATCTTATAATTTAATAAAGTGAAATATTTCATACTTATTTTAATTTACCATTTTTTTGTTCTTTAATGGTTTTGCATGTTTTAATATTTAAATTATCCAATAAAAATGAAATATAAAAAAAAATTAATACTTAAATGCATTATGGGTTTTATTAATTTTTATAGTAAGTTATTTTGTCCTCGTCAGATTATATAATACTAACTTATTTAAATAAATTATAATAATAGTGTGTTTGATTGTATTTATTTTTCAGTCAAATTTCCACTTTGGAGTGTTTGATTACTATTTTTTCCCTTGAAAATATTTTCCAACTTTTGAAAATATGTCTAGTTTTCCTTGTTTTTAAGAAAAAACATTTTCTTTGGTGGAGTAGGTTTTTGTTTTCTCAAACCAAGGAAAACTTCTTTTTTATGAGATATTTTTCATATTAATCAAACACACTTTAATATATCTTACTTAATAATGTATTTTTGAGTCTCCCTATAGTAATTTCATGATGTTCACATGGAAACTCCTTTCCAAAATTTGTACCGGTACATCATGTTACTTTATATTTACATATTTTGAATCATGCTATACAAATAGGTTCAATGGCAACGATTAAAAATAGGAGGGACACGTGGCGCAACATCAATAGACATTCTGAAAAAATAAAAATAAAAATTAGCCGCCGATGCTGCCAACGCCCCCCTATCCATGCCCATGTTTGTAGAGCATGTTTGAGTAGCATTATTCTATATAGGTTTATTAGTACAAAACGTCCATATATTTGGTCTTTAATGTGCAAAACATATACGTTTCAATTTTTTTGCATTTTCACCCTTATTTTTATATTTCATTGAAGAAAACATCATTTTCCTCAATTTTCATCCATTTTCTCCATAAAAATTTTTGAAATGACAAATACCCTCTTATTTAAATAAAACAAAAGAAAAAAACACACAGTGAATAAGAAATATCGAAGTCGTTTATTAATATACACTTGATATCGTTATGAGAAAAATTTGTGTTCGTCAAACTGATGGTTGTGTATATTTTAACATAAGGTATAAAGTCCATGGCATCAATTAAAAATCATCCTAGAGTTGGTATTTGTGTTTCACAATCGCATGAGCTAATTTTCAGTTTGAAACTAGGAAATATAAAAGAGGAAAAAGTAGAAAGAACGGAAAAAAAAGTTCATAAGAATAATTAGTATAAACAAAAGATATGACTTTTTCAATAATTAAATGATTGGTGCTTTAAAATTAGAAAAATAAAGTTGCTGCCAGCTTTCACATACCTTTAAAAAGCGATCTTGAATCAAGGGATGACTGGTGAGCATATTTTTGTCTCCTAATTATTAACAAGCGAATAATGTTACTTTATTAACCACAGTGGACAGTATTAAATTAAGTATATAAAAGATAAACACGCTGGGAGTGATGTATATCATTATGTACAATTCTTGATGTACAAGTAGCATTTTTGTATAAATATTATGCATATCAAATGAAATCGATAGGTAGGAATGACAACGGAGCAAGTATGGGGTGAGTCACTCATTTCCGTTTCTTGTCCCATCGAATATTTTTGTCACTTTATCCCACTCCCATACTCGATTAAAGCGGTGGGGCGGCGTGGGATCAAGCAAGACCCCTTACCCCATTTATAGTCCCATTCTTTTTTATTTTATTTTTAATTTTAATTTTTTTATGTCTTTAATTAGTGAATACTTTTTTTTTCCAATTTTTTAAGAGCAACTCATGTTCTCTTTAAAAATAATTATAAATATTGGATTTTTATTTGATAAAAAAACTAAACTTTGAAATTAACTTTAAACGTGACGGGTAGTGAGACAAGGACCATGTTTTTCGTACCCGATTCTGGGCAACGTCCCCTGTTTATCCAATCACGCAAGTAATCTCGTCCCTACTCGGGGCGGAGCCCTGCGAATATCGAATTGAACATTTTTTTTTTGTCATCTCTATAGACATATAGTGAAAAAAGAGTTTATATTATTACTCCATAGATTAATGCAAAACAACTTGACAATACTAATTCCCTCCAACACTAGTTATTCCCCACACCATACAATATCACCCAAATTCTTCTTTGTATATATTGAAATCCTAAGATTTTCCTAGTTTCCATAGTGTTTTCTTGCTCAATATGACTATATCCTAAAAAATTCCACCATAAATTCATTGAAAACGGGTTTGAAGTTCAAACAGGTTTTGTTTTACTCTTCTGATACAGCATTACTAGGAACTTGCCCCTATGCCATGGGGATGAAAATTCTGTATTTCTTAATTTTATCTAGGGAAATTCACTTTACTTGCAAGTAAAATAAGAGTAATGTTTTAAGATAAATTATATAAACAAAATACTACTTTTGTTACTTGTGAAATGCCAAAAACTCATTCAAATATTAGGTCTAAGAAATTTCGAACAATTCAACAGCCAAATTTCGTATTACTTTAATGGTCACAAATTAAGTACAATCGATAATTGACTAGCACTACCCACGAAATTATCGTGGAATTTAGTGACGAATTTTGATGTCAACATTTTATACAAGAAAGTCGTGAAACCCTATTCCTTTTCCAAACTTTAGAATTAGGGATTGATATATTTATTCAATGTCAATTTATTTGTTCTAAAAGAATATTATATGATATTGGCTGGTAAAAAGTTAATTAATATAGGATAGTAAATGTTTAAAGTTTAATATATGAATAAATCATAATTTGTACAATTTATTATTAATAACTATTATATTATAATTTAATAAAGTGAAATATACGGATTTAGTATTTCATACTTATTTTAATTTACCATTTTTTGTTCTTTAATGGTTTTGCATGTTTTAATATTTAAATTATCCAATAAAAATGAAATATAAAAAAAAATTAATACTTAAATGCATTATGGGTTTTATTAATTTTTATAGTAAGTTATTTTGTCCTCGTCAGATTATATAATACTAACTTATTTAAATAAATTATAATAATAGTGTGTTTGATTGTATTTATTTTTCAGCCAAATTTTCACTTTGGAGTGTTTGATTACTATTTATTTTCATGCAAAAAATGTCTGATTTTCCTTATTTTAAAAAAAATATATATTTTCTTTGATGGAATAGATTTTTGTTTTCCTCAAAAAAAGGAAAAAAAATTTCTTTTTTAGGAGATATTTTTTATACTAATCAAACACATTTTAATAGATCTTACTTAATAATGTAATTTTGAGTCTCACTATAGTAATTTATTAATGTTCACATAGAACTCCTTTCCAAAATTTGTACTGGTACATCATGTTACTTTATATTTATATATTTTTAATTATGCTATACAACCGGGTTCAATGACAACGATTAAAAATGGAAGGACATATAGCACAACATCATTGGACATTTTGAAAGGAAAAAAAATTAGCTGCTCAGATGCTGCCAGCGCAGCACCTATCCATGCCTCTGTTTGTAGAGCATGTTTGAGTAGCATTATTTTAATAGGCTTATTAGCACAAAACGTCCATACGTTTGACATTTAGTGTGCAAAACATTTATACGTTTCAATTTTTTGCATTTTCACCCTTATTTCCACGTTTCATTGAAGAAGACATATTTTTGAAATGACAAATACCCTATTATTTAAATAAAATAAAATAAAAATAACACACTGTGAATAAGAAATATCGAAGTCGTTTATTAATATACAATTGATATCGTTATGAGAAAAATTTGTGTTTGTCAAACTGATGGTTGTGTATATTTTAACATAAGGTATAAAGTCCATGACACCAATTAAAAATCATCATAGAGTTGGTATTTGTGATTCACAATCGCATGAGCTATTTTTCAGTTTGAAACTAGGAAATATAAAAGAGGAAAAAGTAGAAAGAAAGGAAAAAAAGTTCATAAGAATAATTAGNTTCATTGAACAACGCAATAGCGAACGGTACACGGAGGAGCCCCTCCTACACAATGCCCTACAAAGAGGGGTTAAGTGTGACCAAAGCCTGAGCTCAAGCTATTACAACTGACAGATCGACAAACATGACAAAAGCCAAACGAACGAAATACAAACGACCCAAACTACACAACCCAAAACCACAACAAGCGAGCCGGAAAGAGATCCAAAAACCACAACAATGGCAACCATCTAGAAACAAGGTCTTCATCTACCATCAATTCACATAA